GGGGGGGGGGGGGGGGGGAGAGAGCGAGTGTAAGAAAGAGAAGCATTTACTCATTCTAAAATATTTCTTAAGCCTAGTTTCACAATTTACTTTAACCGAAGTATGACTCGTTAAAGGCTTATCCAGACAAACTTGCAATCGCATTATTCTAGTGTACGAGGTAATTGATTAATCTAATGTAAAATGTATCTAATGTAAGAGACATCCTTTTACTGCTCGGATCACGACTGCTTGGTTTCCTTATGCATATGCAATATGTGATTGTACAAGTTTGTCTGGATAGTCCTTTAACGAGTCAAACTCCAATTAAAGTAAGTGTTATGGGACACTAGGCTTTAGCTCTGTTTCTACAAAGATCGATTAAATCTTAATTTTACTCGGACAAAGATTTAAACTCAAATTAAGATTTAATTGACGTTAATTAAAACGGATATTAGAGATACCGTTGTGAAGTTAATAAGATTCTGATTAACCAAACAAGATTTCTTGGTTGAACAAAATTCTAGTAACTTCAACCGGAATTCTGATTCGTTCATACCTCACCACAGATATTCGGTTGATTCAACCAAGCTCTTTTTTCTGTTCAAGTAGAATACTTTTTAGACATTTCTTTTCAGGTTCTGTACGGATTATTTCAGTGACTATGGAGAGTCTGAGGATGAGTCTGAGGCAATCTTAAATATAACATCAGGCTATGAATACCCGCCAAAGATGTCTTTTAGACATTTATATTGTGTGAGTGTTAGTTCCAGCATATAAAGAGGAAGAATAATTTCGTAGGCTTCTTTTGTCGCATTCGACGACGAGAAATGTATGCTCGTTATAGCCGTAGAATCGCTTTTCTCTCTAGCAAATCACGGAGAGCCACAAGACGAGAGATTGACATCCGGCGACTGGCCAGTGTATCACCGATACACAGTGAAAGTCCCGCGCTCGAGTATATGTCCATTATTACGATCAGCGACGTAACCTTGGCTGATAATAGCCGATGCTACACAATACTTTCACGTAGCGCGCCTTTGTCGTTCTTTTTTCCCTTCTTCAGTGAGAAATTCACGCTCCAGACGCGTTTTATGACTCGGCTGTAACGCGGCGATCAAGTGTCGTCCGATCGACAATGGTTTGCAGAATGCACGAGAAACTTGGTAAACATGGCCAAATTTTTTGCGTATTCTGTAATGTTTGGAATTGACGAAAGAGTCGTCGCTTCGACAGTCGCCGATGTCGATGACCTCTATGAGTATTTTACGAAAAATTTGCGGTGTATTATGTGTATTATACGTTGTACAAGTATTTCGGACACTTTGGCCCATATTCTGAATCCTCTTTTATCTATAAAAGTACTTCTAAAAGAGGCTTAGGAGCCACCTGATTGGCTGAGAAGCTACATTTAAGGCAATTTTATCGATAAAAGAGGATTCAGAATATGGGCCTTTGTCTCTCTCGCGAATTAAACGCGCAATTGTCGCGTATTCGTATTAAAAAAAATTGTTCACACACAAACGTCTCTATGTGTACATAACGTCGGCGTAAAGTACGAAGTCAACACAAACTCGCTCAGCAGTTTCGAAATCACGGAATAGGAATTTTGGTTGACGTAAGTGCGAATATTGCGCAGCTCGGTTAATAGCTCGAGAATAATCGAGAATGG